CCTCCTCCTCCTCCTCCTGTTCCTCCTTCTCTTTATCATCCTGCATCCTCCTCCTCCTCAACGTCCTGTTCCCCCTCTGCTTCCTCCTCCTCCTTTCCTGTCTTCTCTTTCTCGTCTTGCGTCCTCCTCCTTCTCCTCCTCCTTCTCCTCCTCTTCCTCCTCCTCTTCTTCCTCGCGCGGAACACGCCCTAGAGGAAACGTACGACGTGCGTCCCAACGGCTACGCGCCAGAGGACGACCCGGAGGAAGCGCGCGCCGGAGGGCGACCCGGAGAAAGCACGCGAGGTGAGGTCCCCACCATAGGGAGGGGGCTCCCGCCCGAGACTTCTTCGCAATTCACGCACAGTCCCGCCTTTTACTTCCTCCGTATTCAGGCCTCAAGAGCCTAAACATGAAGATAGCTACAGGACGCCGATGACCCACGTCTGGTTCGGACATGAAGCGCGGGCCCCACAGGGAGGGAGCTCCGTTTGAGACTATTTCGCTATTCACTCACAACCGAAGCCCCGGCCGGATACGTCCTCCATATTCAGGCCTCACAATTACGGGAGGCCGATGACCCGCCTCCGATTAAACCCGAGAGATGCGGGCCCCATAGGGTGGAGGCCCGTCGCTGGCCCTGAAGGCGCTGCCGTACTCGAGCTTCAGGAGCTTCTTGATCCGCAGCGGGTCGCCCTCGATCTCACCCTCCGCGTTCATCGGCTGGTCGTGGATCGGGCCAGGCTGAGCTCGGCGAGGCGCTCGTACTCGGGGATTGCCAGCCTCGTGGAGGCAGCGCTGCAGGGCCCTGCTCGCGGTCCAGATCCCCCTGCGGATCCTGATCGCCTCCTTGCTGTAGATCTCGCGCTGAACGCGGTCGCGGGTGACCCGCCGCGGGCGCGCTTCTAATATCCGCAGCGTCTGCATAAGCTCGCGGCCCTCGGGGGGCTTGGGGGCCTTCCACGCGTGCGGGCCCATGCCACAAGCAGCGGTAGCCAGGTACACTGCGTCCGTCATGGAGGTAATCGGCGCTGGGCTGCGGTCGGCGTAGCAGGCGCTGTGGCCACAGCGCTTGAAGCGGTTGTCGAGGCAGGTCCCGCCCTTCATGGGCGCACGACCTCCGTTCCAGATATAGCGCCTCCTGGTGCCAAGGGTGAACTCCAGCTTGATGGCCGAGTGGTCGGATTGCGCGCTGTCGGTGATCTCCTCGCGCGCGGCGTTGGCCTTCCAGATGTCGCGAGCGGGTATCAGGACATAGTCGATCTGGGCTGGCGGGTGCTCGGCAGTGGCAGGCGGGCCCGCTGGCCGCCGCAGTGAACGCGCTCGCCGCCGCCAGGTCGCGCTGCATAGAAGTCTCGTCTAAAGCTCGGCGCGACGCGTGCGCTGACCGACTGGGAAATCCCCAGTCCAGCGCTCCTCGCCCGCCTGTGGGGCGGGTGTGTGTGTGTGTGTGTGTGTATGTGTGTGCGTGTGCGTGTGCGTGTGCGTGTGCGTGTGCGTGTGCGTGTGCGTGTGCGTGTGCGTGTGCGTGTGCGTGTGCGTGTGCGTGTGCGTGTGCGTGTGCGTGTGCGTGTGCGTGTGCGTGTGCGTGTGCGTGTGCGTGTGCGTGTGCGTGTGCGTGTGCGTGTGCGTGTGCGTGTGCGTGTGCGTGTGCGTGTGCGTGTGCGTGTGCGTGTGCGTGTGCGTGTGCGTGTGCGTGTGCGTGTGCGTGTGCGTGTGCGTGTGCGTGTGCGTGTGCGTGTGCGTGTGCGTGTGCGTGTGCGTGTGCGTGTGCGTGTGCGTGTGCGAGTGCGTGTGCGTGTGCGTGTGCGTGTGCGTGTGCGTGTGCGTGTGCGTGTGCGTGTGCGTGTGCGTGTGCGTGTGCGTGTGCGTGTGCGTGTGCGTGTGCGTGTGCGTGTGCGTGTGCGTGTGCGTGTGCGTGTGCGTGTGCGTGGCGCGGGCGCGGGCGCGGGCGCGTGCGCGGGCGCGTGCGTGGCGCGGGGCGGGGGCGGGGTTGTGTGGGTGTGCGGGTGTGGGTGGCGTGTGCGTGTGCCTGTTGCCGTTGCGTGGTGCGTGTGCGTCCGTGTGCGTGGCGTGTGCGGGTGCTGTGCGGTGGGCGTGTGCGTGCGCGTGTGGGTGTGCGTGTGCGTGTGCGTGTGCGTGTGCGTGGGCGTGTTCGTGTGCGTGTGCGTGTGCGTGTGCGTGTGAATACGTGTGGCTGTGTGTGCGTGTACGTTTGCGTGTACGCGTGTGTGTGTGGGTGGGTGTAGCGTGCGTGTGCGTGTGTGTGCGTGTGCGTGTGGGGTGGGTGTGTGTGTGTGTGTGTGTGTGTGTGTGTGTGTGTGTGTGTGTGTGTGTGTGTGTGTGTGTGTGTGTGTGTGTGTGTGTGTGTGTGTGTATTATACATGCATGTATGTGTTTACTGCTATTCACTAGAACCAGTGCGCGCTTCGCGCGCTCAGGTTCTAGTCAAAACTGCGCAACGGCTGTATCTGGTACCACGGGCACTCTCGCGACCGCCATCACAACCATGTCTGCTATGACTACGACCGCGGCTACCGCCGCTGCAATCGCCATGTGTACACATGTAACTGTTCATGTAGGTCTCGAGTGGTCTGCCGTTCATTCTGTCATATCTAGTTAGATACACATATATGTGTATATGCGGATATGTGGATGTGAGCACTCATCGGGTCATCTTTAGATGAATAGCGGATTAAGCCCGCACACTCCATTTGGGACAATTCTGTAGAATGACAATCTGACTTTTCTGAAACGTGTTAGAATTGGACCGACATTCTGCCATGAACAAGTACCTCGGTCCAACTGGTGCATATGGCCCCGCTTCCCGAATTGGTCTGCCTGGACTTCGTCTGGTTGGTCCGCCCGGGTCTGAGTCTGGTTGTAGCTGGACGTGCCACTAAGGTATGTCGTCATGTCAATGTGGTTCGCTTGCTCCATCTGCTTCGTCTGGTTCGTTTGGCCGGTCTGGTCTCCCCCACCGACGGGTGGAGATACTACTGGAGGAGAAAGCGGCAGGCGAGACCGAAAGAATCGAAAGGGAAATAGTAGGGGAGATAGGAGAAGAGAGGCGGAAAATAATGAGGGAAACCACGGAGGGAAGAAAAGAGTGTGGCGGAGGGAACAGAGAGCAACGGAAAGTGAAGACAGGGGATACATGAAGGGAAGACGGGAAAGTAAGAAGGGGAAAGTGATTGAGTGTCAGAGAGGGAGATATGAAAAAAGGGAGAGACACGCAACCGCGTGGAAGGAGAGGAGGGAGAGGGGGAGGACGACACGGAGGAGGACATTGCCAACGACCACGAAAGCGAAGCGCCAGAGCTGAATGTACAGCGAAAAGAAGAGCGCTACACATGCACTTACAAGAGTGGAAGTGATGATGATGAGGAGGAGGAGGAGGAGTAAGTGGAAAGGGATGTGACTGAGAACGTGGGGGAAGAACGACGACGAGAACGACGAGCAGTAGCAAAAGGACCAGCAACAGAAGCGACAACAGGATCACCAGCAGCAACATGAGGAGGACGAAGAGAAGAATCGAAGGAGGAGCAGGTGGAGAAAGGGGGAGAGAAAACGAGGGAGCTGCTGCACCAGCAGCCCATGCGTTCTTCTGCCCCTCTCGCAAAATTAAGCACTGGGGTATCAAACGCTGTTGCTCCAAGCGGTTTAGACTATGGAGGTGCGCTCATCTGGGCGGCACCTGGACCTCCAGCGGCTCGCACTGCTCGAGACGTGTGCCCCAGGAGCTCTCGACACCCTCTCCCCAAAGGCCAGCGGCTTCGTCCTGCGTCGCTTTTGTCGATTGTCCCGTGGCCCAAGACTACGACGAAGAAGCCAGAACGAGGACGAAATCGGGTGACGGCAAATCGAGTCTTTGAGATCCGGCGGCTCTGGAGGATGTATCGGGCGCCGCGGCCTTCTCAGAGCGTTCCAGAACGCTCTGAGAACGCTCCGGAACGCTCTGGAACGGATTCGTCGTCGTCCTGGCCCCGTCCGAGAGACTGGTCTCCAGACCCAGAACAGGAGCTGAAAGAAGAAGCGGTTTCCCTTCCCCTGGCCATGAAATCCACACAACCCTAATCTTGTGGACGCCACGACCATGGACACCCTCACAGTCCTATCATTGAATTTGAAATATTTCATAAGCATGTTTTGAACATGATTTTACATGTTTGAAACATGTTTAACACATGTTCTTGACATCTGGAAATTATTTGGCAACATGCTTCCTCTCCATGGATCGTCCTCCACAACCCTACTCCTCACACCCCTCCTCTTCGACGCCCTGTGGCTTCCGTGTCGAGCTCGAGCCTCCAGCGGCCGCTCGGGACGGATCCGGGCCACCCTGGAGAGCTCTCGACGAGGCGCAGCTGCTGGAGAGCACCCCGAGGCGAGACCACCTCCGAGAGCCAACGAAAGCTTCCTCCCCCTCCTGCGACGACGGTCGCCATCACGTCCTTGCGGGGGAGACCAGAAGGTACCGATACCGCTACAGTCGAGGCGTTGACCTAAGGAACCCTAAATGAGGAACGAGGCCCCTTTTTGTCCAGAAGTTAACCTTCGACTTCCTGCCGAACACATAAGGAAAGCCTGAGGCCAGCTGTGAAGCACTTGAGGAACGCGGAGCCCCTCCCCAACGAAAAGGGTTCCTTCTTCGGGAGCCCGACTGTACCCCAAGGCCTCTCCCTGGGTCCGCTCCGGCCAGGATTCCGAGGCCGCGAGCACCAGGGCAGGGCGACGGCACAATGACAAGCACCCCCCCCCCCCCCTGGCTCAAAACCCTCTCGGACACCCCCTCCTCGCCCCCGCTCGAACGACCGCCCCCCGTGCAGTGTGCGGCCTCGCGCGTGCGCTGCGTCCCCCGGGCTGCTCCGGGATGGCCCGCGTGCTCTGGCGCCGGCCCCTCCGAGAAACACGCACACACCCGAGCGATGCCGGGCCTCTTGGACGCCCGCTTCTCCGAGGGGGAGCGACCCGCCGTGGAGGCAGGCACCGCGCGGTCGCGGGGGGGCAGCGGCGGCGGTGTCCTGGGACAGCGTCTCGGCATGCCCGACCACGATGAGCCCACGCCTCCCCTCCAGGGTTGCCCCACCGCGACGAGCGAGGCTTGTCGGCTGCGCGCCCAGGGGGGAAGGCAGAGGGGGCGGGCCTTCTCAGAAGGCTCAGGTCTCTGGCCTCCTGGGAGGCTTCACGCGCCTGCTCCGAAGACACCGAGGGCTTCTGAGAAAACCGGAGGGCTTCTGAGGAGCACCGCAGCCTTCTGAGAAGGCCTGCCCCCTTTCACTTCCCCCCATCGGGGCGTCGTCAAATGTAGGGTGTTGGCAGATGCGCTCTCTGGACCCAGGTGCCCAGGTGTCCCCAAGGCTTGCGCGCCATGTTGGAGCCCCTGGGGCCCATTGGGCCTCGTGGGCGATGCCCCAGAAGCAGCCGGAGGCGTCCATGGAGATCCTGGGCACCTGAGAAAACGATAACCTCACGTGGAGCCGAAATCCTGCCAGTCCAGGGCGGGGTGCCCAGGACACCAGGGAGGTCTAGAAACTGCGAGAATGCACGATCGAGGCGGACCCTCACAGGCAGGCCCGTGGTCAATCAGCGAAAGGGGTCCAATTCCAACGCTGGGGCTATCGGAAAAGAGAACGGGGTGAAGAATCGGCCTCAAGGAAAGGGTTCAGAGGCCGCTGGGGCCCACGTCTGGAAGAAATCGAGACGCCAAGTGTGCGGGAGAGACGCTGGCAGTTCGCGACGGGGCGTTCATGCCTGTCGGCGTGAGGGCTGCATACGAGTGGGGAGGGGAGAAGGGTCCCCCATTCCACACCAATATAAACAGCTCCTCCTCGTCGCACCAGCGAGCGTGTCTGCAGGGCGGCCACGGCGATGTGCCTGCGACTTCCCCACCGGCTGTGACCCCGAGGCTTGAAATCCAGAACAACTGCGTGGACAAAGGGCGTGCCCCAGCGCAGCGCACATTCGCAATGACTCCCAACAGATGCACGGATAGACGGCGGGTCCTTCTCAATCCATGGCTTCGCTTAAACGCCGCGCACGGATGGAGGGCGGGTGATTATGTTTGCAAGTGTGGCTCTCGCCTCACAGCGCCACTTTCGAGCCCCCTTCCGACCGGAAACAACATGTTCTCTCCTGTACGGCTCTGACCGTGCACGTGGCGTCCACCGAGCGGGAGGTGTGCGGTGCGGGGGGAGGGGGCAGGAGCCCCGACCTCCAGCGGAGTTCTATGGGCCCGCAGACTCCCGCACCCACCTCCCTGAGACCGGCTTCAAGCCTTGGCAACTTCCTGATTGCCCGGGGCCCGAAGACGGGAAGCACGAGCTCGTGAAAAGCTGGCAATCTCGAGCTGATCGTGCCACCATAGGCATGGAATCCTCTCTGTCTCCGCCTGCGTCTTTTCAACCATCGACGCCCAAACCTGCCCGGGGTGCTTCTGACAGGCACTTCGAGGTACTACCGTGCGTGGTGGCGAGGGCGCCCAACGGGCCCACAAAAGGCTCAAAGAGTCAAGAATACCTTGATGATTGATCCTCGATTGGGAACCACGTTTAAATACACTGAGGTATCTGGGCCCTGTCCAATGGGGCTTCGCAGAAACGCAACAGGCCAACGTATAGCGTATAAGTTAACGGCCGGTTCTCCAAGCGACAGGTGTTGACACGGATCTATACACTGCTTGGGCCGACATGTGGCACTAAGTGGTGGACGGACATAGCATAGTACAGTGGATATGATGGGCCTGTTTTCCACCACCATCATAAGTTGGAGGGGGAGGGGGTCCTCCTCCTCCTCTTCTCCTCCTCCTCCTCCACCTCCTCCTCCTCCTTCCCCCCTTCAACTTATGGTGGTGGTGGTGGTGGTGGAAAACAGGCCCATCAGGATATGCTCCTGGCCCCGACCGAACCTCGACCAGGGTCCTCCTGGGGCGAGCCCCCACCGACAGAGGTGCAGAGACCCCCGACGCCGGCCAGCGGGAGGCGCTCTCGCCTGGCCCGCGTGAGCGTCACGTTCGTGCGCCGCCGGTCGGTCACGAAGCCCAGCTTGCCGCTCGCCCGGACCTGGGCTTACTTTCGAGGGAGCCACATGCGAACCCTACCCCTGCCCCCCACGATTTCTGAGGGGGAGGGTGGGGTTCACTCCGTGGAAATCGTGGCGGGCAGGGGTAGGGTTCACATGTGGCCCCCTACTTTCACCCCCATCCCAGAACTCCGACGCCCTTGCCAAAACTGAGGGCGCAAGCGTTCCGCCATGTGAGGCCATTCTATCATTCGCGAGGGGGAGTCTCGAAACGGTGCGGTGACTGACCGTGCGGTGACCCCGAAATCCCCCAAGACATCGCCGCACGGTCCGTCGCCGCACGGTGCTGGGGCCCAGGAGGCCCCTGTCGCCCGAGACATCCTCGGAGAAGGACTCGAGTTCCAAGACCGTGCGGTGACCCCGAATCCCCACCGACTCGCCACACGGTGTGGTCACAACACTGTTTGGGGGCCACCGACTTTCACCCGGATCCCAGAACTCCGACATCCTTGCCAAAAATGGGGGCGGGAGCGTTCCTCCATGTGAGGCAATTCTATCATTCGTGACATTGCCCGTTCCCAGCCCTGGCCCTGTCCCCTGCGGTAACGTCACGATTCGGGCCCGCGCTATCTGGGAATTAACCCTTCCTAAGCACTCCTGAACGGCGCCTGCGCGAATCGTGATCCTACCGGCCCCCCGTCATGCCTCCCCCCAACCAGGTAACGCCATTTGCCGTAAGGAAAACCAGCCGAGGAGTCGGCCATGCCCCGCCGAAGATGTCGAAAGCCGCCGACGACGACGGCCAGGTGCTTTCGTAGAGGATCTCAATGTTTCCTCCCCTGGACATAAAAGGGCGCCATGAAGAACAAATGGCAATGCTAGCGATAACAGGGCACTACACACCATCCATTTCTCGTACTATCGTAAGCAACGCCATCATTGTGGCAGCACTGGCTGCTGATATTGAACACCCGTTCCCTGACCTTGTCGGTTCCGCGTCAGAGAACGCTGTGGGCGCTCCCCAAGAAGTGCCCAGAGGCGGAATCAGTAAGCCGTCAGCCCTCAGCTACACCAGACGGGTCGGAGGCGAGGCGAGGACCGCAAAGTTATTGTAGTCGCGGCGCGGGCGGTCGCTTAGCGCGTGGTGGCCTGGAACGGGATGCGCAACGGCAAACTGGCAACACGACGGCAGAAGGAGAGGAGGGCGGCCGCGGAGGAGGGACTGAAACTGGGCGCGGCGCTCAGGACCTAGAGTTCCTGACGCCGGTACTGCGGCCCAGGCGAGGACTGCGGAAGAGGCCGCGTTGCACCGCCACCACCCCTGGCCAGGGCGCTCTGGGCCAGGGGGCGTGCATGCGGCGGTGACACAGGAGGGTCTGCACAGGGTCCTCGGGCACAGGAGGGCGTCCCGGCCAAGGCCGGCGGTGCACAGCGGCCTCCCGCGGAGGGGGCGGGGGGAAGACCGCGCCGCTCTCTCGAGGGCCGCAGGGGCGCCTGCCGACGCCCACGTCCGACTTGCGCACTGGACGTCCGCCCGCTGCCCGCGCTGCTGCGGGGGGGTCGGATGCCCGAGGCGGAGGCGGGCCCCGCTCACCGCCGTCCCCAATGCAGGGGCAACGATGTGGGGCTTCTCGCCTCTTCACCTCCGAGAAGCTTCTGGGCCACCGCGATGTCTCCCAGGTAGCTCAAGAGAGATCCGAGGGGGGGCCAACTGAGCTTCAAGACGGCCCCAATAGGGTCTAAGAACGCTCTAAGAGGGGCTCAAGGTGCGAGCATACGGTCCCAAAGGGGCAGCCCTAATGAGAGACTCTCCTTTATTTGACCGATGGCCCGAGAGGGTCCCAAGGCTCCCAGGAGGACCCCAAGAGGGCCCCGAGGTAGCCCAGCATCCAAGATGGCTACAAGAAGGCCCTGATTTGGGCCAAGTAGGCTGCCAAGAGGCTCCCGCATACAAAAATCCAAGACGACACGTGTCGTCTTGGACACTTACGATTCACTCCTGGTTCCGCTCAGGCTGGTCCAGAGCGTAGGTTTGACAGTTGCCCTGGTCAACGCAGCTCGCCGGGGCATCGTTTCTGCATGGGCTGGTGAGGATACCCCCTGCCCCCTTCCGTTCCATTCTTGCCACTGTACTCCCCTGTCTGCATGGGCTGGTGGGGATACGTCACGAAGCGTCAAGAAGTGCGGATGCATGAAAAGACAGGGCGGAGGCGCGTGGAGCAGGGAGGAGACGGTAAGGGCAGGGCTGGGCGCGCGACTGTGGAGACCAGGATGAGCTCCTTCTCGCGGCCCTGGAAGCCGTCCACGGTGCTGGAGCGGCGTCTTTGCCGCTTCTGATGCCGTCTGCCCACGTGACAGCGTGAGGGGCAACGTTAGGGGGGGACCAGCCCAGGGGAGGAAACATGGAGCTTGAATCGGCGGTACATCGCCGCGAGATCGGCGACAGGCCCCCGATAGCGAGACCTCTCGCCCCTGGGCGGGGTGGGCCGACCTGGCCGACCTCACCCCTGGGCGGGCCCCCCTGGGCGAGAAATGGGCGATGGGGGGTCGACGCGCCCCCCCTGAGCCAATAATCCACCCCTAATGTTGTTCCTGACGTGAGAAGGCAGAACATGTCAATGCCATCTGCCCGTGCAGTGGTGCTTCCAACGATCCCGCCCATGTAGAAAACAGCACACGGCAGTTTCGTGTCGTGGCGACCCACGCGTTGGCTTCTGAAACGACGTGGGTCGCACAACCTGGGCCGGCCAGCGGCTCTTCGATCGCCAGCTCCCTTCTTCTTGGCCGATTCTGGGCCACAGGGGCGTTCAACCTTGAGCGCCCGTGGCGGGGTCGCCGCCGCGTTCCATGCGGCACGAACCACGGCCGCAGTCCATCTCTCAGCGACAGTACCAGCGCTCCCACGCCCCGATCGACTCAGAGAGCAGTGGGCGCGCTCCTGGACCTCTGGGCTGGCGGCGCCGTGGCACCACTACTTCGGGGAGGTTTCGCCATGGCCGGGCTTCTCAGCCCGCCTTCGGAGAAACCTTCACCAAAGCCCCCCTGCCCTTCTACGAAGCCCCCCTGCCTTCTGAGAAGCCCCGCCGCCGCCTTCGAAGCTCACCCCCCTCGCGCCACCCCCCGGCGGGCGCCACCAGAGACGACCATGCAAGTGGTGGCGATGTCGACGGTGATGGACTCGACGATGGTGACCATGGCGGTGATGACCGTAAGTAATGACGATGATGGTACCCAATTTGTTCCCCCGAAATCAACAAGGTACTATGCGCGCGCTCTGTAGCAGCAACAACCTCCCGCTCCTCCCGACCCCTCCCGCACTGGTTTGATACACGATCCCTAACCAAAGAAACATGACTGCCCACGTCAGAGACGACTGCATCGCTAAGCGGGTGGGGGGCTGGGAAGGGCCATGCCACTCCTTGATAAAAACCCTGCTCCGACTCAATGGCACCATGACTGCTGCGGCAACCTCCAAAACCCACCCTGCGCGTGCGTGAGGGTCCGGAAATCACGCGACGACGAGCACCAGGTGATGGGCCTGTTTTCCACCACCACCACCACCACCATAAGTTGGAGGGGGAGGGTGTCCTCCTCCTCCTCCCCCTCCTCCTCATCCTTCCCCTCCTCGTCCTCCTCCTCCTCGTCCTCCTCGTCCTCCACCTCCTTCCCCCCTCCAACTTATGTGGTGGTGGTGGTGGAAAACAGGCCCATCACCAGGACGCTGGCGCAACGCCCGACGACCCAGGCATCCGGCTGCCGTGCGAAAGCGGCCGCGGAGCAGCGGCCCTCTGGAGCGTGGCGCTCCGGTCCTGCACTCCACGTTCTGGGGCAGCAGTCGCTTCAGCAGCTGGACCTGCTCCTGTGGAGTGGGGGCCAACCGGCCGGTATGCCTTTCTGGGCCTACCAAGGAGGGCTCTCGGGATAAAGCGCAGAGCGCTCAGAGCAAAAGAGCACTCTAAGGGTAGCCATGACCGTCTTAGAACACAGAGCCGGAGGAATGACACAAAAAGACGGTCTCAGACAGAAATGTTCTAAGAGCGCTGCGCAAATAACACAGAAAGAGTTATTGCAACAGTCTTTGGTGGACCTAGAATCTAGAGACAGGCCAGGACGCTTCGCCACTGCTTGAAGGAGAGGGGGGGCGATAGAGAGAGATCGACTTTGTTGTTTGACTTGAGACTCCATCAAAAAACAGACACCCAAGAACGGAAAGAACGGATAGAGGGCAACGCAGGCTGTAACAGCTGATACAACGTGCGTGGTCCATGTGTGCGCACGCGCACATGGACCACGCACGTTGCATCAGCGTAACGTGCAACAGCGCCTGCGCGCACGACGACGATGAGCGACGAGCGACGAACGACGACGACGACGTCGACGACGACGCGAGCAGCATATAGGTGGCGATCTGCCCCACAGCGCCTCTGTACACCACAATGCTCGCGTGCACCACAGCGCGCTTGTACACCACAACGCCTGCGCACAACGCAACAGCCGCGTGCAACGCAACGCCTGTGCACACCACAGTGCTTGCGTGTACCACAGCGCCGGTGTACACCACAGCGAATATGCACACAGCACCAACCATGTGCAACAAAGCGCCTGTGTACACCACAATGCTTGCGTGCTCCGCACCGCCGGTGCACACCACAGCGCCTGTGTATGACACAACATCCGCGTGCAACGCAGCGCTGGTGTACACCACAACGCCTGCGTGTATAGGACAGGTAGATGGAGCATGTACGTGACGATCTGCTGCGGACAGGTAAACGCCACGCTACGGAAGTGGTGAAAATGGAATGCAACGTTCTTCCCTCCTCCCTCCTCCGCCACTTCCACCTCCTCCTCCCCCTCCTCCTCTTCCCCCTCCTCCTCCTCCTCCTGTTCCTCCTCCTCCTCTTCCTTCTCCTCCTCCTCCTCCTCCCTCACCCTTCCCCACTGTCATGCGGGTCGGCGCTACAGCCCACGTGCGCATCTCAGCGTGCACCGCAAAAGTAACGATTGAATCAATCCACGTGGTTCTTGGACGGCTAATCCCACCAGTCGTCTGGGCGTCGGTGGTTTAGGGCGTTTACTCTTCCACCCCTCTCGCTTCCTCCTCGGGGAGGGGTTTACCCCTCCCCCGACCCCCTCCCCTGGACCTGGACGGGGGGCGCCGAGGGTAGTTAGAGCGTCCAAAACGGCCTCGGCGAGGAAACCGAAATCATTGATTTTACCAAGGTGTTGGCCCCATTTTGGCCTCCTGGGGGGGGGACCTCAATTGAGGGACCCCCCTTCGTTGACCGATCTCCTCCAAGATGGCCCTAAAAGGCCCCAAGGAGGCCCCCCAAAAGACCCTAAGATGCCCCAAGAGGCCCCCCCCCGAGGCAACCGAGACCCCGAAGAGCCCCCAGGATCGCCAAGAGACCCCCAAGACGTCCCAAGAGGCCACCAAGAATCGCCCAAGAGATACTCCAAGAGGCTCCGAGAGGCATCCAAGAGACCTCTGGCCCTTGTGTTTGCCCTCCTCCTCCTCCTCCTCCTCCTGTTCCTCCTTCCTGTTCCTACTCGTTCTCTTCCTCCTCCTCCTCCTCCTCCTCCTCCTCCTCCTCCTCCTCCTCCTCCTCCTCCTCCATCCGCCATCACCTCAACTCGCCTGGACCTCGTTTCTGGATGGGCTGGTGGGGATACATGTCTGTCGCAACCGCAAGCGAATGCGCCAACGGCGAGTAAGGTCCGAACGGGCCGCGCAAGAGCCGAATTGCCTAAAGCCGACGAGCCGGCGACCCCAGCGGCGCTACGGCGGGCGGGCCGGCGAAAGGGGGCGTGCGAGCTGCAGCTGCCAGGGACCAGGTCTAGGAGCGCGCACGTGCAAGATTAACCAACTAGGGTTGGGGCGCAGCCAAAATGGCGCGGGGGTGGCACCAGGCCAGGATGAGGCCAAAAGGAAGCCGACAGGACACTGCGTGAGCTGCCAGGGGACCGTACTGGCCTCAAACTGGGGCATTAGGTGGCGCCACCAAAGTCGCACACCAAGACTCCTGGAAGGAGCACTGATCCTGCATCCAACCGTCCACGGGGTGATCCCGGGAGGGCGAGCTGAACGGTCAGGGAAACGATGGATATAATCGACACCGTGCCACGCCAGGGCCACCGGACCAGGAGAGCCGAGCGCACCCTTGACCAGAACGCCGACGTCTGAGCTGACCAGGACCAGGGCGATTCACGCCTCAGGCACCGGGCCGAATGAACACGAGGGTGCCGTAGGCAAAGCCGCCAGGAACGGTGGGCGTAGTCAACACAGTCGTCCGACAACCAGGAGAGCACAGGCTGAACCACGTGCGCTCAGAGCCACCACGCGCCCACGATGCGGGTGAGCCAATGGAGCTGAAGGGGCCATGGGCCAGAGCTGACAGGGCCGCTGCGACTCCAGCCACCTGAACGGGGGGGACCAGGAGGGAGCGAGGCGGGGCAGTCCATACGCTGGAGCGAAACCGCTCGGGGCGAGGCGTCTGCCTGTGGGCGCGGGGAGCAGAATGCGCCGATGGTGGCGAAAACAGCTACAGCGGGCCAGGGGCCAACTAGGACAGGTGGACCACGACCCCAGCTTCAGTCCACTCGCCGGTACTAGCAGCAGGCAGCTGCCAGGCCCTCAGGGCTGGTGGGGATACGCGAAGCGTTTGCAATTTTGCTGGACTTGGATGGACGTCGATGGGAAGAGTTAGGATGATGCGGGCGGGCGGGGGAGGACTCGTAGATTCCAGCGGCGCTCCTTGTTCAATAAAGATTTCGTTCCACATCCTATACACAGGCGTTCCGCTCTGTCATACGAAATCCTTTCACAGTTCTATATGCAACAATAATGCTATGTCGCACACAGTTGTTTGGGTGCACACAGGCGCCGTGGTGTACACAGGCGCTGTAGTGCACGCGGGCATTGTGGTGTAGCCTTGCGTTGCGTTGCGCACGGTTGATGTGGTGTACGCAGGCGCTGTGGTGTACACAAGCGCTGCGGTGCTGGCTGGCACTGTGGCACACACACACACTGGCGCTGTGTTGCACGCGGCGGTTGTGGTGTACACATAGGCGGTGTAGTGTACACAGGCGTTGTAGTGCACGCAGGCACTGTGGTGTACACAGGCGACGTGGTGTAGATCGCATCCTGCATGCTGCTGCTACCCGTCCTCGGTCATCCCTAAGCATTCCCAGACGCCACTGGCGCGAAACGTGACGTCATCGGCCCCGTCCACCCCCACCCCCCCAAAATGATTACCGTTATCGGCCCGGAATAAAATAACAAGCTCCAGCAACGTCCGAACGCACGACGACGATGAGCGACGAGCGACGAGCGAGGAACGACGACGACGACAACGAGGACAACGACGAGGACGACTGCGGACCAGACTTATATGCGGATTCCTGTGCGGACACCTATTCGGATCCCGACGCGCACGGCGGAAGTGCCCAGAGCGCTCTGGGGGGGGGTACGTCATAGAGGGTGGCGGGGGCCATGACGCCCGTCATGCCCCAAGCAATAAAGAACACTTCTCCAAGAAGCCTCAGATACACTATCGATTTTCGCACATAACTCCTGCACCTCCAGTGAGGGGGGACGTTAAGAGGGCACCCGCTCAGGGGGGGAGGCACCATCGACCAAGGGTCGGCGATAAATCGCCGACAAATCGACGAGAGGTCCGTGATAGCAAACCCGAACGTTCCTGGGCGGAGTGGGCTCTCACGCCCCCATCGGCGATCAGTGGACGATCGGGGGTCAATGCATCCCCCCCGAGCATGTCCCCCCCTGGCTTTCGGGCCATTGCTCGGGCCTCTGGCGGACGTTTGGGACGATTCGCGCACACCCGGAACGCTCCTGGCGAGGCGCAGCCGCTGAAACGCATCTATAGGCTGGAAAACCACCGAAAGCAGACGAAAATGTCCGTGGACCCCATACCTCCCCGAGCCCGTCCCCCCTAACGCTGCCCCTGACGGGGGGTGCCCAGACCTCTGGCGCCCCTGCAGAGTCGGGGCGGCGCGCTTCCTGCCACTCCCCGCGCCCGGGGGGCCCGCCTCGGTGACGTGTTGGCCGCGGCGCCGCCGTCTCTGGGCTCCCTCCTGCTCCCGCCTCCCCGTCCTCCACCTTCTTGGCCGCGCACATAAGATTTGTAGGAACACTGCTCAGAAGGAGGCTCCTGCTAAAAAGACGCCGACCTTACATCTACAAACAAGGCCCAGAAGACGGGGTGCTTCTAAGAAGCCGTCCCCCCTCCCCCTACCCCCCTCCGCGCGTGGCTGACCCTTCCCTTCCGCGACCATGTATTACATTGCGTTCTATGTGACGCCTGGGGCACAGATGTTGCTGCTGACGCGCCCGGTGTGTCTCCTCGCCGTCGACGCCTCCCTCCTCCTCTGCCTCCTCTTCCTCCTCCTCTTCCTCCTCCTCCTCCCCATCCTCATCCTCATCCTCATCATCATCATCATCATCATCATCATCATCATCATCACCATCATCATCATCATCATCATCATCATCATCATCATCATCATCATCATCATCATCATCATCATCATCATCATCATCATCATCATCATCATCATCATCAGCATCAGCATCAGCATCATCATCATCATCATCATCATCATCATCATCCTCATCCTCATCAACATCATCATCATCATAATCAGCATCACCACCACCACCACCAGCAGAAGCAGCAGCAGCAGCAGCATCATCAGCAGCAGCATAATCATCATCATCATCATCATCATCATCATCATCATCATCATCATCATCATGTTCATCATCATCATCATCATCATCATCATCATCATCTCATCATCATCGTCATCATCACCATCATCAGCATCATCATCATCATCATCACCATCATCATCATCATCGTCGTCATCGTCGTCGTCGTCATCACCATCATCATCAGCATCCTCATCCTCATCATCATCATTCTCATCATCCTCATCATCCTCATCATCATCATCATCATCATCATCATCATCATCATCATCATCATCCTCTGCGCTGAAGCATCGGCGCCTGGCACGAGGTCAGGGACGAGACACAAACAGGCATTCCTTGGGCAGGGGTGAGTCGAGGCACCCAGGGGTCCCCAGCGCCTTGAAGCAAACACGACATTGGCGGTCTGGGCCTGAAGCGGTCCAGAGACAACCGGTCCAGAAGCGGATCTCGCCGCAGGCTCCCGGCAGTCGGCGATGGCCGGCGAAGGAGAGAGAGACGGGGAAGAAGAGGCGAAGAGACGACTGCGATGACGAGCAGCCTAGAGGCTTGAGCCTCGCCCGCTCGTCAGGCACAACGTAAGCGTGAGCGCGGGCAAAAAAAAAAAACGCAACCAACCATTAGGCTGCCTTTACCCGATGGGCCTTGGACTCACAGAACCTCACGCAGTAAGGGTCCATGCCGAGGTAGTCGATTCGCCGCCACATGGCCGACCGAAGATCCGCATCCAGGCTGGGCGCATGCACGCCAGGCCCGCAACGATCACATCAAGACTGTTCTGGTGATCTAAGCGGAACCATGGCATGCGTAAGCCGAAGCACCCTCAACCGTTTGCAAATGTACTCCGACAGCCGTCCGCTGCACAGGGAGACCAGCAGAGGGCCCCCCACACGGCCGCCATGACCTCCTGGGAGTCTGGGCCCAGCAGCGCCGCTGCCAAACCCGTTCGCCGCCAGACACCGCCATTGCTCGAGCTTGAGGCCATCCTCAGTGGCCACACACCCTGTCTCCCGCGCCGTGCCCGCGGCGACATCCTGACTCTCAGGCCCTGCGTCTTGTGGTGGGCGGCGCGGTGCCGCGCTCCGACACGCCTCGAGCCGCACGCGCGCGCGACACCACCGCGCCAGCTGCGGCTTCAGCCTCGTGCGCCCGGTGCTGCTCCCCTGGCCCCGCGACCACCGCCGCCGCCTGCGGTGCTGCAGGAAGCGCCGCCCCTCCAGCGCCACGGATGCCGTGCAACTCAACCCCGAGCGGGTAATGAATACTGATTTCTGGGACTCTTGCTCTCCACCTGCAGCCGTTGCCCACCTGCAGCCGCCCGCACCAGCCACGCTTCAGCGCGCCGCCGCCTTGACGCTGGCCGGCCAGCAGCGGAGCAAGCCCAGCTCGCACCGCGTCCCTTTGGAGTCCCGAAACGGTGCGGTGACAGACCGTGCGGTGACCTCGGAACCCCAAGAGACCTCACCGCACGGTCCGTCACCGCACGGTTTTAGGACCCTGGAGGCCCCCGTCGCCCGAGACATCCTCGGAGAAGGACTCGAGTCCCGAACCGTGCGGTGACCCCGAATCCCCACCGACTCACCGCACGGCGTGGTCACCACACCGTTTGGGGGCCCCCGAGCCTCGGCAGAAGACGCGCCTCGTCGGCCGGGATCGTCCTGGCCGTCCAGGTGTGCCGAAGAGCAGGGCGAGGCCAGCCATATAGGCTGAGGGCTGGCTCCAGGCGGGCTCGCGCACGACCCGCGTCTGCTGGCGGCGCCGGGCTGCTCGGAAGGGCCCGCTCGCTCGACGACGGCAGTGGGTCAGTGCCGTGTGCTCGACTGTGAGCTTTTCCTCCTGCTGAAGACGAGCCTACGAAGAGTATAGCTCGGGCGGCAAGGACGAGGGAAAAGGAGACGGGCCTGAGAGCAGGAGGAGTGATGAGTCACGCTTCGCGCTGCGTGGCGCCCGACGCGAGGTCAGCTTCCCACCCGTGCGCCTGGGCCGCAAGGCGCGAAGCGCGGTCATCTTTGCATGCTGATGACCACTAGCGGCGACGAGGGAGGACGGCGTGGGAAAGGAGGGCAAAGAGCGTGGAGAAAGGTTGGAGGCGGGAGAGAGGACGGAGGAGTAAGGGTTTAGGGGAGGAGAGGGAGGGCGGGGGAACGATGAGGGCAAACGACAGGAGGCTGGAGGACAGGGAAGGGAGGAGGCAATGACGAGGCAGGAGGCAGCAGAAGGCGGGGAGAGGGTACGAGGAATGAGGCCAGAGGGGGGAGAGAAGGAGGATGAGGATGGAGGAAGGAAAGGAGGGAGGGAGAATAAGGAAGGATGGACGAGGAGTGAGGATGCAAGAGGAGCTGAAGCGGGCGAGACCTCGCTGGGCTCGGGGAGGAGGCCCCCGGAGGCGCCCCGGCGGCTCCTGGTAAGGGGTGATGATCCCGACGTCTTCTGCCTGAAGGCGTGGGAACAGGCGGAGGACCCAGCCCCACGTCGCGTCGTCCAAACAACGCACGGAAGACCTTCGGCTACCTTCGGCCACGGGGGGCCCTACGGGGGGCCCTCACGGTGCCCTGGGACCGTCCGAAGGCGACTCGGCATGAGAAGCCTGCCACTGGGAGGGAGCCCAGACCGCCCGAGGCCCCCGTTGCGAAACAAACGCGACGTCGGGGGTCGTGGTCCCTCCACGTTTCCCGCTCAACTCTGACCGCTCCCTCCACGTTTCCCTGCGCGTCACTTCGCCAACATCCCCATCACAACGGGAGCGGGAGATAGGGGGAAAGACCAGCAGAAGAAGACCAGGTCGCAGGAGGGAGAACTCGAAGGAGCGACTCGTCTGCTCACATATTGCCTTTTGTTGCCCTGCTCTCACACAGGGATACTGGCACAAGACCTCCACACACGAAATCAAGCACACACACACACACACACCAAAAAACACAACAGAAAATCTTCGGCCACTTCGGCCACTGAAGGTCCTTACCAGGCCCCAGGACCCGCCCCGGCCCTCACCAGGCCCTGGTAACAGCTCCCAGGGAAGGTGTCGCGAGGTCTGGCAATACACGCTGTGGAAACAAACACCACATCGAAAAGTCTCGGCAGGACGGAGGACGGAGACAAGAGCAGTAGAAGGGAGGAGGCGGGAGGCGCGCAGGAGCGGATGCTCCCTGAGCCCTCTGGCGGCCCCCTGCGGGTGCGTCAGACGCGTTCAGGAACCAGGCCCTGTATAGGCTCGAGGACCCAGGCCCTCGCCCCACACGCGACCCGCGAGGTCGCCGGCCCGGGTCCTCCGGTGGGATGGGGCCCAGAGATCCAAGGTTCTGAACCCAGACCCCTCCTCCTCCTCCTCCTCCTCCTCCTCCTCCTCCTCCTCCTCCTCCTCCTCCTCCTCCTCCTCCTCCTCTTCCTCCCCCTCGGCCTGGAGATCTCCGGGCTGCAGCACACTGCGGACGAGGCCCACCAGCATCGTGGCCTCCGTCTGGTTGGTGAACGACGAGCCGACCTCCCGGGGCAGCCGGGGGCGAGTGGGCGGAAGTGGCACTCCTCAATTCTCGAGGCGCGTCGCGTCTGCCCCCGCGGGGACTTCCGAAGTCCTCCGGAGGCCCTCTGAGACCGGAGGTGAGCTAGGAGGAGGAGGAGGAGGAGGAGGAGGAGGAGGAGAAGGAGCAGGAGCAGGAGGAGGAGGAGGAGGAGGAGGAGGAGGAGGAGGAGGAGGAGGAGGAGAGGAGGAGAGAGGAGGAGGAGAGAGGAGGAGGAGGAGGAGGAGGAGGAGGAGGAGGAGGAGGAGGAGGAGGAGGAAGAGGAGGAGGAGGAGGAGGAGGAGGAGCAGCAGGAGCAGGAGGAGCAGGAGGAGGAGGAGGAGCAGGAGGAGGATGGGCAGGTGGGAGAGCGAAAACAGCAACCATCAACGACACGCCGTCGCTGGGAGCCCGTCAGCGTCCCCTTGAACGCTTCGCCCAAAAAAAGACGCCCCTAACGTCGCCCAGTGCCCACCACAGGGCTGAACCTACACTGTGTTTTTCGTTTTCGTGTTGCTTTCCTCTTCCCTCGGTTTGTCTTCAATCCGCCTTTACCGCAAAACGAATCGAAACGAAAACGGCCCACGAAATCACCAAAACACAGTTAAGGTCCACCCCTGGCCCACCATTCCCGCGGCAACTCTTGCGATCCAGATCGAAAAGCGGGCAGACGACGAGGAACGAGCTGCGGAGCAGTAGGACGGAGGCAGGCAAAGGCGAGGACCTCTGGAGGAGCGCAACTGCTTCGCAGATCGCGACCCCCAAAAGACGGCGAGGATCAGTCTGCGTCTTCGATTGGCACCGCTGCGCTGGCCCTCCCAGGAGGCCACGAGAGTGGCGACAGATTCGCAGATCGCAGCCCCCTAGGGACGGCGAGGTCTAGTCTGCCTCTGCGAAAGGCACCGCTGCGCTGGCCCTCTCAGGAGGCGACAAATTCGCAGATCGCAGCCCCTCAGGGACGGCGAGGCCTAGTCTGCGTCTGCGTAAGGCGCCACTGCGCTGGCCCTCTAAGGAGCCCACGTGTGTCGACAGATTCGCAGACCGCAGCCCTCGAGGGAGCGCGTAGAAAGGTACAAGCCAGCGAAAAGAGGAGGCAGAAGGCAGGAGGGAGGAAGGAGGCGGGAGGAGGAGACGCGCGAGCAGTTCTCAATCCGAATCGAGAACGCAACCAAGAGCGGGTTGGGAATAAAGCAGGATGCGTAAGGTGAGAGGCGGCGAGGAGGAGGAGGAGGAAGAGGAGGAGGAGGAAGAGGAGGAGGCGGAGGAGGAGGTGAGGTGAGGGAGGTGAGGTGAGGTGAGGTGACTGGGGGCGCGGTGCTCTATTCAAATCAAGAGCCCAACGCAAGAAGGCTGGGACAAGTACCAGGAATTCGTACGGAAACGAAGGAATAACACGCGGACGGGCATCTTGATGCCAGAGGGTCAATAATAGTCTTTCCCTCCCGAGCACGGGAGGGAATTAGCATGGGGGACTCGCGTTCTGAAAGAAATGGGTCCTGGACCCTGGGGCCTTCCCCCAAGCCGTGTGTTGCATCCTGAGCCGTTCTCTCACAGTCCCAGGGGGCCGTGGAAGGCCCCGAAGGCCCGAAAAGGGCGAAGCAACTCAGGACCGTTGTTCCCTCAAGACACGCTTCCCCCATGGCGGGGGGTAGAACTAGGTCGGACACGTCCCACTAGGGGTTTTTGGACAAACAATGAAAACGGGTCAACACATATTCCAAAATGGTCACAAATAGTAGAATAATCGTCCCCATCGTAGTTGTTGGACTATTTTTGAAGATTCCTCCTGTAGAGGGACACGCCCGACTTATAAGGTAGAAGCTTGGAATCCCGCGCCAGGCAGCGATCGACGCCGCGGGTGGTCCTCGCGCGCAACCGCGCGGAAACCCCACACGAAAACAGGGCAAGAGGGCGCCCCCCTCGCTCGGGAGCCGAGGGCGTGCGAAGGAAGGCGCTGCTGCCTGCGCACCCCCCGCGGGCGAAGGGGGAGGGGAAGCAGAAGGTTTGAAATTCCGAAACGGTGCGGTGACTGACCGTGCGGTGACCCCGAAATCCCAAGACCTCACCGCACGGTCCGCCACCGCACGGTCTTGGGACCTCGGAGGCCCCAAACGCCCGAGACGTCCTCCGAGAACGACCCGAGTCCCAAAACCGTGCGGTGACCCCGAATCCCCACCGACTCACCACACGGTGTGGTCACCACCCCGTTTGGGGGCCCCCGAATTGGAATCACGGAAGGGACATGGACAAGGAGCACCGGGACGGGCAAATCGGGGTGATGCGAGACTGTCGGCGGCGAGCGAGGGGGCGAGTGCGGAGGAGGAGGCCTTCTCAGGAGGCTCGGAGGTCACAAGACTTCTGAAAGATGCTCGGTGCCTCCCCCGAGTACACAGGAAACTTTTCGGAAGGCGGAGGGCTTCTGAGAAGCCCCGCCGCCTTCTTAGTAGGTCTTGTCCTTCTCACTTCCACCCCTCGCTCGCCGCCAAGTGGGGTAGGGGGAGGGGCAGAGGTGACGTTGGAAAAAGATCGCTCCAAACGGCCCCTGGAAACTGTGAGCATTCGGCCGGGTCGTTCCCGAACCCCACCTCAAAATACCCCCCTCTACGAACCCGTGAATACAGGTCTTTGTCATAGCCTGTGGCCTGTCCGGGCCGAGCTGCGGGGGAACGGTTCAAGGGCGGAAATATCGACCTGAAATCGGCCGTACCTCGCCGACGAGTGGGCGATAAGCGAACGATAGCGAATCCGGACATTCATGGGCGGGGTGGGCTATCCTGCCAGACTATCGGCGATGCATGGTCGATTGGTGGTCGATGTCAAGCTGCTGCAATAGAGAACGCTACATAGGGAACGAAGCCCCCTTGTGGCACCAACAGAGCCTTGGCGCGGGAGGAGGGCGCCAAAGACGACCACGGCATGACCTGAGGAACCGCGGGCCCCTTGCGAACCCAAAGCGGTCCTGATTTCCGCGTCTTGGCTGCATCCCCCCCCCCCAACGCTGCCGCTGAGGGAAGGGGAGGGGAGAGGGGGGAGCCGGGACACGGCCGCGGCCGAAGGCAGAGCTCGACGGAGGAGGTCCAGGGCTCTTCCAGGGGCAGCACGGAACGAGCAGGCTGGCGGACAGGCCAGGGACTGACGAGACACGATCGGCAGTCAGATAGCTGGTCGTCCGAGGTCTGCCTGACCACTGGGGCGCGAATGCAGGAGCGGAGGTGGGCGAGGGGAGATAGGAACGGATGAACGTGAGTGGGGGCGGGGGGGGCGGTCGGGACCAGCAGGCGGCCACGGCACAACGAGGGGATGGCATAAGTCTCAAAACATGTGGCATGAAACACCAGGGAGGGGCCTGGCGGAAACGAGACTTGGACTCTGAGGCTGGCCCCGGGCCCAGCTTTTCATCCTGAGCTCTTTGACAAACCTCACGGACACCTCTCTCGCAGGACTTGTTCCATTCATGTTGATGATTGTGCGTTGCGGCGCGCGGTCGCGTCTGGGGCCCAATCCTCCGATGCATGGCGTTTTCCTTCTCGGGCGGGCCCACGAGGAGGACTGTCGCCCTTCTCCCGCGGGGAAGCCCCTCGCCCTCGCGATCTACTTCGGATGGCCTTGGGGCGCGGAGCAAAATCCAGGAAAAACGCTGGAAGGGAACAAACACAATCCGCCCGAAATCCGTGTCGGGGCGCGCGCGTGGCGGGGAAGGCAGGAGAGCGCGGGCCTTCACAGAAGGCTCACGTATCCGGCTTCCTCAAAAGTTGCCAAAGTCTTCTCCGAAACCACAGAAATTTCTCACAAGGCAGAGGGGGTTCTGAGAAACCCCGCCGCCTCCTGAAACGGCTTGCTCACCCTCCCTTTTCCCCCTCGGCGCACCGCCGATTGGGGGGCGCGCGAAGCAGGACCCCTGCCCAGCAGGCAGGCCCACCACCCAGATAACAATGCGCGTGGCGTTCGGCGCACGCGCTGGGCTGCGGCGCCAAAGGCGGCCACGCCGGGGCCCCCTGGTGGGGGGGCTGGATGGGGGGAGTGTTTTCTGCGCCCCTGACTCCTCGAGGATAGCGCTTCGAAGGTGAACGGGGAAATGGTGGCGTTGTTGTTACGTCTTTGCCCATGTTGAAGTTCCTACTGCCACGGTTGCCTTTCACCCCTGTCGTCCTGATCATGCCCCCCCGTCTGAGTTCTGAACGCCGATGTTGAAAAGGGGCCTCAAGAAGCCCCGTGCCTGACAGTTAGATATAATGCAAACCAGCGTGGACCCCAAAGGGCGGCGTTTTGCAGTTTGCGCGGTGCGAACTGGGTACCGCAAGCAACGTGATGCAGTCTAGGCGGTGCACTCCAGGTAGCGAAGTCGATGCGGTACAACATCCGCCGATCCGGCGTGTGAGTTTCAAAGAGTCTCAGCTACAGCCTCGAGGCTGAGCCTCAGCCTCTGGGGGGGTTGCCGGGGTGGCTCTGCCGGGGAAGGGGGGATGGGGGGGGGGGTGCGAGTTTCCGGCGGATGCGGGGCGCTGCTTTTACAAAAGGCTCTAATCTCGAGGATGCGCTGGAAGGGTGGCCGCGGCCGCAAAAGTCTCTGAGGACGGTCTACGAAAGTCCCGAGACCCCGAAGGATCGCCCGAACACGCCCAAGATGGCCCCAAGACGGCCCAAGAGCATTCCACGACGTCTGAAGAGGCCTTCAAGAGGCCTCCCACGATGGCCCCCAGAGGCAAAAATCGTTGATTCCCATGGGTTTTTTCAATGTTTCTGGGGTTGTCGTTTTTTTCTGCTTTCCGACGCTCCAAGACGGCCCAAGAGGCCCCCAAGACCGCTCGAAGACGGCCCAGGAGGCCCCCAGACAGTCCCAAGACGGCCCAAGAGGGCCCCAAGGCGGCCCAAGAGCCGCCCAAGACGGCCCAACAGGCCCCCAAGACGGCCCCAAGAGGACCCAAAAGAGGGACGAAATGCTGAAAAAATCTAGCCTTCCAGCCCACGGGGCCCCCAGGAGGCCCCAAGAGCCTCCAAGAGGTCCTCCGAAAGCCCCCAAGACGCCCCCACGACGCCCTGACAGGCTCCTAAGATGGCTCAGAAAACGCCCCAAGAGGGCGTCCTTGCGCCGATAGGCTCGCCTCCACCGCTCGCACCACATCGTCCAGGCCACATGTTTCGTAACACGACTCCGTGCACGACGTATCGTGAGTTTCCAAAGTGACCGGCATCCTGTATGGAATTTGCATGTCATTGTTATTTCCCGTCCCCACGGTCACTGCAAGCACCCCGCCGTTGATAGAACCACTGTTGCGAGATGGCTCTATTGACCCAACTGCATTCCCACGCCCTTTCGAAGGTAACCCGAGAAGTTTGTGCGTTTGAGTGTGCGCCCATAATGTCTGCGTCTGGAGAATAACACCGAGCGACCCGGATCGGCGGCGCTGGCCGAAGGCCACTACAATATACCAAATGCTCACGACTCAATTGTCAGCTCCACTGGTCGCGCAATCATCCCACCCACCCACACGCAATTTGGTTTGCAAAACCCACGCAGCGGCGATTGCGATGACTGCTTGATGCGGGCTGGCGCATCGCTGCGGCCGCGCTAGCGCGCGCAGACTCATGCGCAGAGCGACCAGTGAGTCTGGCGCGACCAGCGCGCCCGCGGTGGCGCTGACCGCTGGGGACTGCCCGACGCGTCTCGCAGGCCGCGCTGACGCGCGGGCACTTCAGTGCGAGTCGGTGCCTCGGGCGGGCGCGGTGTCATGACGACCTCGGCAACGTTTGACACGATGAAGATTGTGGCGATGCTGGTGACAACAATGACGAAGACGACGTCAAGGATAATGACGGCACCGATGCTGACAACGCCGATGAAGATGATGGTGTCCACGTGTAGGTGATGAAAGGTTCGGATGGAAATCGACACGCGCGCGCGGCCGACGGGCGCGAGTGACCCGCTTTGCTTTATGGAATAGGGATCGCGCCCCCCCTCGCCCCCGCAAGCGCGCAAGGGCGCCCGAATGATTTCGACATGCGCGCGCGAGAGGTCCGCTTCGTCGTATTCGATAGAACTGTTGACCGACCTAAGGGTTTTCAGGAGAATTCGCAAGAGCGCGCACGCATACTGTTTCTGGAACGGCAGGTTGCAATACCAATGGTTTAACATATGTTCGGGAAACTCGATCTTGAACTCCGAGCGAAACCTGAGGTATTTGAAGAATTCCGGCATGCGCACGCGACGCCGCGCGCGCGTGGACCATGTATCAATGGTTGGTTGCAAAGAGTTCTTGACAACTGACGATGTGTGAAAAACGACTGAGCACGCATAACAGTAGTTGACAGGGATGGGGAGGGGAGTCGACAAGGGGCTAGCTGGGACGGCATACTTGAAATGAACGATGGGGCAGAATCCCAAGGGGATGTCGGTAATTCCACGGGGGGCGAGAAGATCCTATTTCTTTTGCGAAGGGAAAATCAATGCAGAACAGCGCGAAGCAGTGCAAAGCAACGCAATGCGATGTAATGCGATGCGATGCAAAGCGTTGCAAATCGATGCAAAACTATGCAATGCACTGCGATCCAACAATATGCAAAGCAATACACAGTTGACAGCAATGCTGAACAATGCAAAGCAATGCGCCTATGGTATGGCACGCAATGCTATGCTATGTTCTGCTCTGCGTTGCGAGTGGACGAGTGCGAGGGGACGCGTTCGAGTGGGCAAATGCAAAAGGTGGCGACGGACGGCGGCGACGGGCGGCGACGAGCCAGCAAGACTGACACTCAGGCTCGGTTTACGGCGGCGACCGGCGTTGACGATCTGGTCAGACCGACACTCAAGGCTCAGTTACATTCGAAAGAAAGTGAGAACCCCTGAGTGCAAGCACTGTTTTGGGACTGAAAGCCGCAAAACAAACACAAAGGAATGTGTTGTTCAACGTTGGGCCTCTCGGGGCCATTACAGGACCCCAGGGCCGTCCAAAACGGACCCGACATGAAAACCAGCCCCCGGGGAGAGGCCAGACCTCCAGGGGTCCGCACTGCGACAAAAATCACGATTCGAGGGGTCTGGGTCCCTCCGCTTGTCTGGATCCGAGCCGCCCTTTCCTCGGTGTTCCTGCGTACACGCCACTTCGCTCACATCCCGTCACCTCGGAACGGGGTGGATACGAGAAGATCAGGGCAAAGAAAAGAGAAGTCGGCGGAGCGATTTGTTCGCTCACGTGCACCCGTTTGCTGCTCACGGACACTGTTGCGCCCAGAGAGGGGGCCTCACAAAAGGCCTCCACACGCGCGCAACAATGGACCGACCGTCCTGTAGGCCTACCACGACATGCTCTTAGAATAGCATATCAGATTTGAAGAACGAAGCAGCGCTCTTGGAACAGAAACAGCAACATTGCGTGCAAGCCACCAAAGGCTCTTAGAGCATTCCTTCTTGGGCCCATAGGCAAGCCAGGACGCTTCGCCCCTGCATGACTCCAACTCCAGCTACCCCTCCCATCCTGCTCCCGCGGGGCCTTCGTTTCAAAGCCCCTGGTCACTGGCACGAACGCGATGGGAACGTCCGGCACGGGCCATCGGAAGCCGAGAGGGGACGGTCGCGATGTCTTGTAGACACCTGGGAGCGAAAGGCAGTGGAGGAGGCGACGTCTCCCCGTACGACGCAAGGACACAGGCGCAGGCGATGACGAGAACGATGACTGTCTGATTGGGAATCGTTTGGACGAAAAGAGCGAGACCACCAGGGACCTCCAGCGGCCTCCAGAGGCCACCAGACGACTTCATCGTCCGCGTTCGTCATAGTCGTCGTCGTCGTCGTCGTCGTTGTCGTCTATAGCGTCAGCGTCCTCGTCAGCGTCCTCGTCGTCGGACGCCGTGGGGGCACATCGAGGAACTACCGGGCCCCTTTCCTCCCCTCGGCAATGCCCGCCAATCGTTGAGTGGAACGTGGTTGGAACAAGGACTGCACCGGAGCGATGCGCATGTGGGCGTGTACAAAAATTCGATGGGCCAGGCCAGGAGAAACGTGAAATGATACGAGAGCAAGGACGATGGACAAAGAGAGATCCGAGTATCCCGGGAATCTGGAGAGAAGGAGGAGGAGGACGACGACGACGAAATGGCAGGGAACGGAGAGGGAATCGGAGAGAGAGGAGTAGGAGAGAAGACTAGGACGAATAAGGAGGGGATAAGATGAAGAGGGACAGATGATGGAGGAAGGGGGAGAAGGGAGGAGCGTCCAGGGTAAACCCAGGATGCGCCAACGATCCTGCAGTACGCTCACCCGTCCGATGTCCCCTCTTCGTGGACAGTTAGAAAACGCAAGCGTTTGCTTTCACTGCGAGAAGCGCTGCCTTCAGAGACGAACGACCCATGGGACTGCTACACAGGCGAAGGATCCGTTCTGAAAAGGAGCCGTCCACCATTAGTCTGGCTGCAAGAAGCAAATACTGCACATGCTCCAACTACTTGTCAAAATGCGCCAACGCACTGTTGTTGAGCAATCGCCCTCCACCCGAAAAACGGACGCACAGTGCTTGGCGTGTGGTTACAAAACCACATCTGGAAACGGTGTCGTGTACCTTTCGGGAACTTGTCGGACGAGTGCGAGCGCCACTAAGGCGGCAGCCACATGTTGCAAAACGAGTCGATCTCCATCGGCGGGGGTCAACTACGCATCACTCCCTGGGAGTCCCCTGGGGGTCCCGACAGGGGCGAGGGGGGAAGGGGGCCTTCCGCCTCCACCTCATGCGGCTCCTCCTCCTCCTCCTCCTCCTCCTCCTTCTCCTCCTCCTCCTCCTCCTCCTCCTCCTCCTCTACCTCGTCGCGGTCAGCGTCGTCGTCTTCAGGGTCGGCGGCATCGGCCGTAAGGCCTTCGCAATCCTCCCCACATCCTCATCATCCTCATCAGAATCGTCACCATCGCACATCGTAGTCGCCATCGTCGACATGATCATCGTCATCATCATGATCCACTATCATCGTCATACTCACCCTCTCAATCCCCTTGGCCATCCTCCCTCTCGCACCACTACCTCCCATTATTCGTTCACCCTCATTCCTTTCCGATGCTATCCAGTAGCCCCTGAGAACGTTGGAATACCTCTGGGATGCGGAGGAACACGCCGCTGCAAAACCTTAGAGAATTACGACAAACATCTGTCTTATCTTTATGTATTTAGGTTGGCCACGACTCTATGGCCAATGGGAACTTTCGTGCGCGGGCGCAAAGAAGCCGTGCGTGATACAGGCGGACTAGACTTTAGTATTAGCAGGATGCAGCAATGTTCGGACCCCAAACGCCGTGTCAAGACCAGGGGCGGGACGTGTTCCACTCTTCGTATTCGGCATGGTGGAAAAAGCGAGGCGTGAGGGAAACGGGTTCTGGACAGCAGGGTCTTCCCCCAGGACTAATTCTTCAACATGTGTCGTCTCTGACTGTCCAGGGTCCTGGGGAGGGCTCGGTAGCCAGAAAAACGGCGAACATCCTCCTGAGCCGTCTCCCTCATGACCTGTTCGCTTGATGGCGACGTCTTCCTCCCCGTTCGATCTGGCAAACCCTGGCTCGCAAAACCCCAGTCTCTGGTCGGCACGCCCAAGCTGAGTACGGAAAAAACTAGTAGGATGCCCAACGGCATATGCTGTCCATCACCGACAGCGGCAGTTGTGATGGGCAGTTGACCTGCTGTCTCAAATGAACAACGCCCGCGGCGACGGCGACAGCATGTCCTGTGGGTCTTCGTTGATCGACGCAGGTAGGTCGTGGTAATGGAAAGACTTGCGATGAGAAAAAGCTGCCCCGCATGGAATGAGCCGGCTCCTGTTTCATACACTCATTTCTGCGTTGAATGAATTGCTGCTGTCTTGGTTCATTCGCTGGATCGGAAAGTACAACTGGTTCTCGTTGTATGAACCGCTGCCTTTTTTCCCGACAGCAGTCTATGAAACAACGCACCCATTCACTTACACCACCCAGGCTGGTCGGCAATTCGCTCCCATTCCCCGAGCCACCCGACCGCTCGCATCTCGCGCCCCCCCCCCGCCCCTGCGCCCCGCGACCACCTTCGCGCCCTCGCGCTCCCGCGCCGCCCCCCTGGACAAGGGCAGCTCGACGGCCCCTGCCCCGACGAGCGAAGCGCGGTAGTCTTCGCGACCCACAACCTTGAAGGGGCCCAAGGACACATACAAATAAATACACACAAATAACCGGATTCCCATGTTTTTCATACTCTTTGAGTTTTCGTGTTCACCCCCCACTTCCCCTATTTTCCCATATTTCCCGTGGAATCCATGATGAATTGTGTCTGTGTTTTTCCCTCCTGAAACTTGGCAGCGCGCCAAGGGGGGAAGGCAGAGGGGGCGGGCCTGCTCAGAAGGCCCCTGGCCTTCTGAGCAGCCCTCCCCGTCCTCGGAGCAGGCCCTGGAAGCTCCTCACGAGGCTGGGCGTCTCCCAAGGCGGCCCGCCCCCCTCTGCACCAGCTGTTCCCCCCCCTGGGCGCACCGCGGAAGCATCCACTCCGTGCCCACTTCGATCGTGCTGGCCCGGGGGCGTCTGAGATGCGAGGCGGGGATTTATCTTCATCCACCGCCTGGGAACCGACGTCCTGGTGCCCCAGCGGGCGGTGGATATGGACATATTCGGCCCCCGGGGGCCCGAATATGTCCATATCCACCGCCTGCCGAGGCTCCGAAAACTGACCCTCCAGGCGGTGGCCATGAATTCCCGCCTCGGATAAGAGTACGTGGGGGCTTCTGCGCACGGCACCGCATTCCGAGTGCACCTCAGCAAGGTAGCTCATCGACATCCAGAAGCAGCCGGATGCATTGGGTGAAACGCGCGTCGACTCGCGACCACGGCTGGGGACTGCACCAGCACAGCTCGAGAGCGCCACTGCAGAGCGCACCCGTGCAGACTTCCGCAATCTCGACCTATCCAGAGGGGGGGGGCGCGTATGGAGGCCTCCCAGAGGGGGTCCGAGCGGGGGAAAGAGGCCAGAGGACCAAGCCGCATCGCCAGCGCACCAGCAGCGCCGGCGATGCCTCGGCAGATGTGCCGAGCGATCTGGTGCAGACTTGAACAGGGACCGACCGTCCCAGCATTCCTGAGGTCCTACCACGAAATGTTCTACAACCCCGAATTTTCGAATAGCAAAAACGTTGTTCTTAGAACATTAACCCGATGCGTTACAACAAGACAGTCTCAACCAGGAATGGTCTAAGAACATGTCCTGCAAACCTCAACAGGTTCTTAGAACATCTTTGGTAGGCCCAGAGCCAGGACACTTCGCCACTGCTCGACAAACCTCCTCGGTCCACCTGCCCAGGAGGGGCCGGCGGCCGCTTCGGGGATCCGCTAACCCAGGTCAATCCAGACCGGGGTCAGTCGGGCCTTGCAGGATCCTGCAGGACCCTGCAGGATCCTGCACCCGAACCCGGGTCAATGCGACCCTGACCATGCAGGATCCTGCAGCATCGGGCGCTCTAGCTGACCCCCGTTTGCATTGACCCCTCTCAAGGCTCCCGCCCGCTTCCCGCCTCCCTGGGGCCGGGGGCGGGCGCCGCTCGTGATGCGGCCGCCGTACGTCGCCATGGACGGGAAGGCCGAGAGCGCGGGGTGCATGCGGTACTGCATGGCCAGGAACTGGGGCTCCACGCCCCGCGCCTGCGCGCGGGGAGCGGGGGCTCGCCGGGCCGCCACCGTTGGGTAGATCCCAGGCGCGGCGAGCGCATCTCCATGTTCAGGTCGGGCATGTCCTCCCATTGGCGGATTTTGGAAGAACAAATTGAAAAATTGTCAGCAAAAAGAATGCAACAGAATCGAAAGAGCAGGACAACTCGTCACCACACTATTTCCTTACTGTTCTTGATGATTCCTCCTGTAGAGGGGGGGGTGGCGTGCCCGACTGAAATCCGTGTCCACGCGCTCGCGGTCTGGAGTCTAGGACGCGATCCCGCGGATGCGCGGTCGCACGGGTGCGTCCCGCGCGGCGCATCTGCGAAAAGGCGCCCCATGTCCGCGGGGTCGCGGCCCTGGGGCCCGGCCCGCGAGGCCGCAGATGCGGATGCATGCTTCGCGAAGGTCGGGGCTCGAGGACAGGAGCCCGGCGATGCTGCTGGGGGAACCAGGAGCCGATACCGGGACTCCCTGGACCTCTCCCAGGGGTGCGCACTGACCAGCGTTTCAAGGCGAATCCAGCGGCAGCGACGAGGGCCTTTCAGGAGGCCCAAAGAGGCGGCACCGAGGCCAGAGTAGCGGTATGAGTACTTCTTCCTCCTTCGAGCTGGAGGCTTCTGTGGGCCTCCTGCTCTCTCTGGCAAGGGCCTCCGAGCGGCTCCTGGGGTCAGGTTGTGGCTGCGCATCCCCCAGGGCGTACAGTCAAGTCACCTAGGGACACGTCGGCGTTTTCGAGCGGGGCGCGGCCAGTGAAAACCGCCACGGATGGGCCGAAGGCAAGGGCGCAAGAGTAACCTTGGAAAGTTGCTCATGCTGACTATGCCACCTCACTGTAGGCCCACTGGCCCCAGGTGAGCATCGACGGCGCCCGCTGGCTGGGCCTCTGGCCTCGGTTTAGTCCAGCTCGTCTTGAGGCTCACCCTAGGCAATCGACCAAGGACGACGACGACGACAACGACGACGACGACGACGGCGGCGACGACGACGGCGGGCGGAGTCTCATCGTACGTATTCGACCACGGACACCTGGCTCCGCATCGGCCAATGCGCCGATTCCAGGCCGATGCTTCCACCAGGTCTGATCCCCCCAAAAACGATGCCCGTCGAGGGGGCAGTGCAATGTACGTGGTACCAGCTATGACGAACGAGCAGTGGTGCACACAGGGAGGGCACCAGGGGAAGCTCCGGAAGACCCAACAACGCACGTGGCGCCCACGAGGCGCCCACGGGCTCCCCAGGAAAAAGCACAGGCAGACCAATCCAAATACGCTGTAAGTAACAGAAGGAAGAACCCCAAAGTGCAAGCAGGGTTTGAGTAATGTCGAAACCCATCCAACTCCTCCTCGATCTCCCTCGTCGGCACTGCTCCGCCTCATTTTCCTCCTCAGCATCATCATCAGCAGCATCGACCATTAAGAACAAATCGACCACCACAAACCATCTACCATCCCCAACACACGATCACCAGAAGTATCATCGACACCATCATCAACATTCGTACACACATCCTACATCATACATCATACATCATAAACAACATCGCGACCACAGTATCATGCTCATCGGTGTTCTCATCATTACCACTATCCGATCCTGGCATCATGATGACCAAAATCGTGAGGATCACCATCCTCCCCACCTCAACATCAGCCTCAACATCATCTGTAGGAAATAATCGGCATCATCATCATCCTCATCATCAAAAGCACCATCCTCATCATCTTCATCAGCATCATCATCAGCAGCATCATCCGTATCGTCGTCTTTATGGTCGTCGTCAATATAATGAACATCAGTACACTCTTACAGCCAGTCCATCACCACCACCACCACCATCACCCACACCAGCATCATCAGCATCATCAGTAGACTTATCTCCATCATCCTTATCATCGAGAGGGCGTGATCCACCGCCGCTTTACTGTGGAAAATTGCCGCCCTTTTCCTCCGGAGCCCGGGGGTCCCCCCCCCAACCCTCCGAAAATCCCCCCCCCCTGCTGGAACCCCTCCCCCCCCCTCCCCCCTTCCCCCGGCAACCCCCCCCCCCTCCCCTAACCCCCTGCCCCCCCCTCGAGCTCGAAAACCGGGGGGGGTCACTACCAGTTCGAACCCCCCCCCCTCGAAAACCGGAGGGGGGGATCACTACCGGTTCGAACCACTGAGCTGTCTCACTGTTCCCACCACTGTCCCCACTGTCCCTACCACTGTCCCCACTGTACCTCTTCCCATTGTCCCACCGCCGTCCTCGCCACCGCCTTCACCACTGTCCCCACCACCACTGTACCCTCCACTGTCCTACTGTGTCCACCACATTCCCACTGTCCCCACACCACTGTCCCCACCACCACCGTCCCCACCATTGTCCCACTGTCCCCACCGTTCCCACCTCACCATTGTCCCCACCACTACCGTCCCCACCACTGTCCCACTGTCCCCACCACTGTCCCGCTGTCCCCTCACCACTGTCCCCTCACCACTGTCCCCACCACCACCGTCCCCACCACTGTCCGCACCCCCCCTCGGTTTTCGAGGGGGGGGGGGGGTTCGAACCGGTAGTGACCCCCCTCGGTTTTCGAGCTCGAGGGGGCGGGGGGGGGGTTCGAAGCGGTAGTGACCCCCCCCCCTTTTCATGATGACTGTGGGGGGGGGAGGAGGGGTTCGAACCAGTAGTGACCCCCCCGGGTTTCCGTTTTCCGGAAGGAACGGGGGGGGGGAGGGGTCGCACCGTAGTGACCCCCCACCACCACCCAAAAACCAACCAACAAGCCCACACAACTCACCACACACCCCCAACAGAAACCCCACCACCTCCATCCACCCTCACAACCCCGGTTTCCCCCGCTACACGTAGAACAACGCACTTTCATACCATGACAGAGACAGTAAAAATAAAAAAAAAGGATCCATTATCATCATCCTCAAGATCATCATCATCATCATCATCATCACGATCGCCGTCATCATCACCATCATCCCCATCCCGTCAACTCCCTGCCTCTCCCCCCACCTCCAACTACATCATCCTCATCCGTTTCACTCCACATCCATCTTGCCTCCTACCCTTTCTCCTCCACCTCCTCCTAGTCCTTTCCCTTCTCTCCCTTCCCCCCTCCTCCCTTCGCCATCTACACACGCGCACAGGCACACGCGCGCATGCACGCACGCACGAACGCTTGCTCGCCCGCTCGCCCGCTCGCTCGCACGCACGCACGCACGCCCACCCCCCCCCACCACACACACAGACACACACACACACACACGCACGAGTCACGCACGCACCGCACGCACACACACAACACACACACACACCCACACACACACACACACACACGCACGCACGCACGCAGCACGCAGGAACGCACGCACGGCACGCACGCACGCACAGCACGCACGCATACAACGCACGCACGCACGCACGCACACACACACAGACACAAAAACAACACACACACACACACTCACACACACCCGCACGCGACACTACGCACACACGCACGCACGCACGCACACACACACACACACACACACACACACACACACGTCCCCGCAACAGTGTGGTTCAAGGCATGTGGAGAAGTTGGCCCAGCTAAGGCTGCCGCCGCCCCCCGCCGACCCAGGAGCTCTGGCGGGAACGGCAAGTTCGGACACGGCGCCGGGCCGACGGGCCGCCGCGCGCGAATACCGCACCGCACTGCCTTTTTGAAATCGCTCGCCGAGGACTTTGGCGGACATGGGCGAGGGAACGGGGGGAAGGGAGGGGCGGGGAATAGTGGAGGGGGGAGAGGGGAGGGGAAGGGGGGGAGGGAGAGGGGGAGGGAGAGGCAAGAGGGGGAGGGAGAGGGGGAGGGAGGGAGAGGGGGAGGGGGAAGGGGAAAGGGGAAGGGGGGAGGGAGAGGGGGAGGGAGTGAGAGTGGAGGGGAAGGGGGGGAGGGAGGGGGGGAGAGGCAAGAGGCGAAGAGAGGGGAAGGGGAGCGGAAGGAAAGGGGGGAGGGGAGGAACGGGGGCAGGAGTGGACAGGAGAGGGAGGGGGCGGAGGTAGGGGGGGCAGGGAGGGACCAGAGGCGAAGGGGCAGCAGCGGCAAGAGGAGGGGGAGCGGTTCTCTTTCCTCCTCCGCTTCCTCCTCCGAACTGA